GTTTTCCAGCGACTGTCCCCAGCCCCCCCCCCCCACCTTGCAGGAAAGGAATTTCCTGCTGCAGAAAACCTACCCTCTAACCCCGCCCCCCTGCGCCCGTGCTCTGGCCTCCGTGGGGCCATCAGGTCAGGCCCTCATTCTGGAGGAGCCCCTCCCTGGGAAGGTGGGCAGAGGCAACCCTGACTTAAGTCTACCTTCCAGGCCAGCTGACTGGCGCTGGCCACGCAGCCTCTCTGTTTTGGTGGAGGGGTTCTCAAGCATTTTGGGGTGACAGACCCCTTTGCAAATCTGACGAAAGTATAAGCCTCTCTTCCAAAAAGTGCTAAGGCCTGTTGCCAGAAGTGATGCTCCCACCCTGGGTTCCAACCCTGAACAATCCTAGGAGTTAGAACCCTTCATAAATAAAGTCCCACCGAACAGGTGAGCAGGGACATACCTAGCCATGGCCCCCTCTACCCAAGGCAGGGACATGAAGTGGCGCAGCGATGGTGTGCGTTGGGGGCACCTCCCAGCCCAGCCCCCACAGGCACAGGGCAGCCAGGCCTTCCTCAGGAGAGGTGTTGAGGCCGGAGGCTCCCCGGGTGAGGGACCACGCTGTGTTTTCCAGAATTCTCTGCATCTCCCTGGAAAATATATGAATAGAAGGAGTTTTCCTCAGCTCCCCTCATCCCCTTTCAGATAATGATAGTCCTCAGGAGTTCTTAGCATCCAGGGAGGGGCTCAAAGGAGTTCTGAAATCCCCCAAATGGGGCACATGTTTGCAGCAGCATATTCCATGGGTCCCGTGAGGTTTCTCAAAAGGGTCTGTGACCCAAGGAGGATAAGGACCTTGACCTTCCATGATCTGTCCCTGGAAGGGGTCAGTGTGACTCCCAGGCTGCTCCCCACCGGGGGAATCACCAGCTCCGAGGGGGGTTTTCAGGAGGGAGGTCTTTCCTGTGCACTGGAAGGCAGGACTCAGGGACACAAGTCCCCTTGGCCCCACCCCTTGCCCACCTGGGAGCCCTGACTGACCAGTCAGTCACCATGGGAGAGACTGGGTCCTGGGCTGCACTCCTGCCCTGGGTTCCTTCTGCTACTCCCTGTTTCATCCCCTGGGCCCCTGCATGCTGCCCTCCCCACCTCCACAAGAGGCTCTTTATCCCCTGGCCTTGGGAGACCTTCAGCAGCTCAGCTCAGCCCCCAGTTTCAGCAGCGGGCACACCTGAGTTGAGGTAAAAGGGGGGGGGAGTTTTCTAGGCCGTTGCCAGGGCGATGCCACCTGAGCTGGGCGCCAGGCACCTGTTGCCCAGGGAACAGTGCGGGCAGGGCCCCTCCCCAGGGAGCTTCCAGGGCCACTGGGCTGAGACAGGAGTCAGATCAGATTCCAGAGAGTCCCGGTCGGGCGGGGGACGGGAGGGGTTGTGTGATACTGGGGGAGCGGGGACACTTTGCATCATGAAACTGGGCAGGGGGAAAACGAAGATGGCAGGGAGGGTGGCTGAGGGGGAGGCAGGCTCAGGAAGGCAGCCAAGGCCGCCTCTGCCTACTTCTTGACCCTGAACTGTCACCTTTTTGCACGACTCCTCCCAATTCCTTGTTCCTCAACTTGTCTTCAGTCTTCCCATTTCTTTGTCCCTCAGTTCCCACATGCAAGGATGTTCTTCCTCCCCTGTCCCTGCCTGCTCATGGTCCCCCACCACTGACCCTGAGCCTCACCCCCCCTGCTCATACACACCCAGCCCTGCCTCCTCCCCACTGTTCAGGTTTCCCACTTGGGCCTCCCTGCGCCTCCTCTGCTCCTCCCTTGCCTGGGCCTTAAAACCCCGCCTGCAGCTAGGCGCCAGCAGAGCCCCAGGTGGCACCTGCAGAGAGTGCACTGCTTGCAGTGAACCTACGCTAGCCAGGAGGGGACACAGATGTCCCCAATCTGAAGGTGGGTCTGGAGAGCAGGTGTGAGCTCAGCCCAGACGTGACTGCAGGGCGGTGGGAGCAGCAGCAGCAGCAGGGCACCCGATGGGCGACAGTCCCTCAAGGGGACACAAGCCACTCAGCTGAGCAGGATCGTGAGACTGGTTTGTGCTTGGGAGAGGATTGGAGACACACCTGTGAGAGGCACAGACAGGAAGCTCCTCTCGAGAGGCCCACAAATGTAAGGACTGCTGGCCTGAGGACACCGACCAACCTTCCCCTGCTGCTGGGAACCCCACCTGGTGCATCTGGCCCACCCTCCAAGTCAGAAGACCTAACTGAGGGGACAGATGGCTTCAACTGGCCTTGAGCTCCTGGGCATGACTCTGGCCGTGCTGGGATGGCTGGGGACCCTCATGTCCTGCGCCCTGCCACTGTGGAAGGTGACCGCTTTCATCGGCAACAGCATCGTGGTGGCCCAGGTGGTGTGGGAGGGCCTGTGGATGTCCTGCGTGGTGCAGAGCACTGGCCAGATGCAGTGCAAGGTGTACGACTCTCTTTTGGCCCTGCCCCAGGACCTGCAGGCCGCGCGTGCCCTCTGTGTGGTCGCCCTCCTGCTGGCCCTGATCGGCCTGCTGTTGGCCATCACGGGTGCCCAGTGCACCACGTGTGTGGAGGACGAAGGCACCAAGGCCCGCATCGTGCTCACCGCGGGGGTCATCCTCCTGCTCGCAGGCATCCTGGTGCTCATCCCCGTCTGCTGGACGGCCCATGCCATAATCCAGGACTTCTACAACCCACTTGTGGCCGAGGCCCTCAAGCGGGAGCTGGGGGCCTCCCTCTACGTGGGCTGGGCAGCAGCTGCGCTGCTCATGCTGGGCGGGGGGCTCCTCTGCTGCTCGTGCCCCCCAACAGTCGAGCGGCCCCGCGGACCTAGGCTGGGCTACTCCATCCCCTCCCGCTCGGGAACGTCTGGGCTGGACAAGCGGGACTATGTGTGAGGCTGAGGCTTTTGCCAGGAGCCCGCTGCTCCCCCAGCCTTGGCCTTGTACACAGATGCTCTGTTCTGACGCTTGCCTTCTACTGTCAACCTCTCCCCCAGGGATACGCACTTTCCAAAAGCTCAAGCCAGACCTGGCTCCAGGGCTCGTCACCGCTGGCCTGACTCTCCTCCCTGGCACCCTCACCTCACGTTCTCCCCCACCCAGACAGGGCCGAGCTGTTGGGTACCCTGGCCTGTCCCTGCCTCCCCCACAACTGCTTCCTTCTGCTGTCCAGGATGTAGACTCCCTCTCTGGGCCCCCAATGCCTCAGAAATCTGGGCCTCACCCAAAAGGCAGTAGCTCCAAAGGAAGATCATGCCCTCCCTTCCCTGGAGTGGTCCACTGGAGCAGGCCCCGCCCATCACCTCACCCTCCACCCCCACCTGCAAGTCGGGAATAAAAAGAGCATTTGTAACTGGGCTTCCTCTGATGTGTGCGCCACTGGGCAGGGACAGCAAGGCAGCCTCCCCTGGTGGCACTCAGGCCAAGGCCTGCTCCAGGTCCTGCCTGGTGGGTAACCTCACTCAGACTGGGGTATAAGCCAGGCAGGGCACTCAGTACCCGCCCCCCCCCCACAACACCAAAGGCACATACAAAACATGCTTTATTTAGTAAAAACTTGTGAGTGTGGGCGGGGCACGGGCAGAAGAGTGCATGGTAAGAGGTGAGGGGCAGGAGTCTATAGCACAGCTGGGACCTGACAACAGGATGGAGGAGCCAGAGGTCAGAAGACTGGGAGGTGGGCAGTTCTTTGATAACGCATCACCTGCTCTTCCAGAGTTGAGAAGAGAGGCTCAGGAGCCCCTTGGGGTTCCATAGCCCTGACCAGGAAGGGGCAGCTGTCCCTGCAAGTCCAGGGAAGCCCAGCCTCCAGCAGCTGTGGGAACTCCTGGGGACAGGCCATCTTGCTATCAGAACAGCAAGCCTTCACACTGGTTCCGCAGCTCCAGGTTGGGTTCCAAGATGGGGATGTCTAGGGACATCCCCTGCCCCTGGAGAAAGATCCAGAAACTCAAAGCACCACCTCTTTGGCTCCATCATCCAAAGGTGAGAAATGCCAACAGCAGAGTCCAGTTGGGAGTCTGGTGCAGTTATCAAATGGATTTTTAAAATACCCCATAGAAATAAAAGAGCAAAAAGAAAAGATAAAAACCAACCCCAAAGCGGTTACACATCACCACCTCTTGATGGCTCCAGCCCAGGGGCGAGGGCTCCATTGCCAGTGGGACCCCCACTCCCTCACTGGCATCACACATAATTCTTGGTTGGGTACTCAGAGGGCCCCCGAGAGGTGGTATGCGGGACAGATACTGAGTAGCGGGCCATGTAATTGCTGGAGCCTCGGGAACCCCCAGAAGGACAGGTGCAGCACAGCAGCCCCCCGCCCAGCAACAAAAGGCCCGAGGCTGCCCAGCCCAGGTAGAGGGAGGCCCCTAGCTCCCGCTTTTGGGCTTCAGCCACCAGGGGGTTGTAGAAGTCCTGGATGATGGCATTGGCAGTCCAGCAGATGGGGATCAGGGTCAGGACTCCTGATATGAGGAAGATGATTCCAGAGGTGAGCACCAGGCGGGCCTTAGAGTCCTTGTCCTCCACACAGGTGGTACACTTGGCTCCAGCAAGGTAGACCAGCAGGCCGAGCAGGGCCACAAGGAGGGTGATGACACAGAGGGCACGTGCAGCCTGCAGGTCCTGGGGCAGGGCCAGCAGAGAGTCGTACACCTTGCACTGCATCTGGCCGGTGCTCTGCACCACGCAGGACATCCACAGGCCCTCCCACACCACCTGGGCCACCACGATGCTGTTGCCGATGAAGGCAGTCACCTTCCACATGGGCAGGGTGCAGGACACCAGGGCATTCACCCAGCCCAGCAGTGTCAGGATGATTCCCAGGATTTGCAGACCAGCAGAGGCCATGGAGATGTTGAAGGAGCTGCATTACATTGAGGGACAGAAGTAGTGTTAAGACTGGCTGGCTCAGACCTCATGCCACGTGCATTGGCCACACAGGACACCAAGGGCATGCACCCTGGGAGTTGGTCAACATGTCCTGCAACATGGGCAGGACACACTCCCTGAGCCTCATTTTCTCATGGGCAAAATGAACATTGAATGCTTTAGCATTTATCTGTCTCCCTGGTGAATAAGCAAGCAACCCTGTCCCAGCAGTTTTGAGTGCAAATGGTAGGCAAGAGTATAAAGCCTGTGTGAATGCCAGTCCTCAGCCTTAGCCACTTTTGAGTACATTTTATCAAGCAGCAAAGTGGCAAAAAGCAGAACATACAGAGTGCAATTTCCAGGTGGTTTCTGTGAGGAACACAGATGGCGATCTGGCTCTAGCCATGAGCTTCAGGCTCAAAACTTGTCAGTTTCAGCACTAAGACTGGACATCCCAAGCTTCCTTCCACCACCCAGTGTTCAAACCCCTCACCCCACATTGGTTCCATACTCCAGGCTGGTTGATACCAGTCTGATCTTAAAATCTAGAGTCCTAGGGGCCAGCCCGTGGCTCACTTGGGAGAGTGTGGTGCTGATAACACCAAGGCCATGGGTTCTGATCCCTATATAGGGATGGCCAGTTAGCTCTCTTGGGAGAGTGTGGTGCTGATAACACCAAGTCAAGGGTTAAGATCCCCTTAACTGGTCATCTTTAAAAAAAAAAAAAAGAAAAGAAAATCTAGAGTCCCAAGCCTGGCCCTCCCCCACCCTCCATGAGGCCCAGGCTTCTCACACCAGGTGGCTGGCAAACCTGGCCATGCCCCTCCAGGCCTGGCCCAGCCCCAGCCAATACCTGGAGGGGCCAGAGAGATGAAATAATCCTCCTACCCGAAAGCAGTTCCTTTCCCAAGGCCACCCACTGACTCTTGAGTCCTGCCCTCTACACTCCCCTAGGGGCCAGAGAGCATACCCTCAAGGTTGGGGGCATTTTCTCATTTTCTTGTGTCATGCTAGGGTCCACTCGGGGCAAAACTTCCCTAAAAGGAGCTGAGCCAGTTTCTCCACCGCCACCCTGGTCTGCACCCGTGTCCCTTCATATCCCACCACCTGTTGGAGGTCGCCCCTGCGATCAGTTCTGCTCAGGGCCCTGCTGTGGCTTCGCATTGCCCAAAGTTCTTGGTGCGTACGGCTTGGACCTAAACGTGGCGCCAGCGCCAGCAGTGCGGCCCGATGGCAGGCTCTCACTTCTCCTTTACTGTCCCGCCCTGGTAGGCCGAGCTCATGACCTCTGGGGAGATTGGCCGGGCCAGTCCAGCACGCTCTGCCTCAGCGCCCAGGTCCGCCAATCACGCCTCTGGCTAAGTTAGGGCCGGGGCTACGCCAATCTAGGCATCCCCGGCCTCTCTCCTCTGAGTGCGCCCCTGGCCTCGCTCCCTTCCCTTTCCACACACTGCAGCCCCGGCTCTGTCCGAGGGACCGCCACCCCAGCCTGGGAGCCGCGTCCCCGGGAGGGGCTTAAAGGCGGCGCTGGCAGCAGGGTCCGCTCCCGCAGGTGAGGGGGAGGAGAGCCCCGCCGCAGAGAGGTAAGGCAGGTGGGGGAGGGGCGCCTGGGGCATCGAAGCCTTTGTCCCGGGGAGGGGGGAGGAGCTTTTAACCCTTCCGGAGCCGCCGTAGGACCCGATCGCCGCGGTGGCTTCGCGCAAGCCCTACAGCCCAGGTACTCTCTGAGCCGAACCAGGAGCTCAGCCTAGGTTCTCCACGGGCACGCCCACCCACGCGGCCACGACCCCTGCGCCTGGCTCTGAGAGGCGACTCCCCTTTACCTTCCCAACACGAACACTTCCCCCAAGCTCACTTGCGAGAGACACCAGGGAAATTCTTAGGCTGAGTGTGGGGATGGGGGAGGAGACAGGGGTCTTAAAGAAGCGGTGACGTCACTGGACCACCGCCCCAGGGGAGGGGCAGAGACCCCGGCCCGGACCGCAGCGGGCGCAGGAATCCCGTCCTCGTCAGAGGGGGGCGCTCGAAACGAGGGCCCGGGTGCGGAGACCCCTGGCCGACTGCCGGACCCAAGGACGGTCAGGGCGCAGGGCGCGGAGCCGCGCGGAGCCGCGCGGAGCTGGGAGTCTCTGCCCCGCCACTTACTAGCATCGTGACCTCTGGAACTCACCTAACGTTCCTGAGCCTCAGTTTCCTACTCTGCAAAATGGAGGCAACAAACTGCATTTTAGTATGTAACTACGTGTAAGGTACAAATTGAAGGACACATTATTTTTGTGTAATTGTTATGCCCCCGGGGCCCTTAAGAAAGCTGCGGTATTGTTTCGTGTCTGAGTCCCCCTACCCCACACCTCCCGGACTTGATCACCGAGAGGGCAGAGACCGGGTCTGCGTTCCTGGAGGTCCCGGCGGTTTGTTGAACGAATGACCGAGTGCCGCGGGCCGGTCGGGGCGGGACGCGCGGAGGCGAGGGCTCCGCCCCGGAAGGCGGGGGCGGGGCG